CAGAAAGAGAACTCAAGAATACAATCTCATTTACAATCACAACAAAAAGAATAAAATATCTAGGAATAAATTTAACCAAGGAGATGAAAGACCTACACAATGAAAACTACTGAAACAAATTGATGATGACATAAAGAAATGGAATGATATTCCATGCACATGGGTTGGAAGAATAAACATAGTTAAAATGTCCCACACCACCTAAAGCAATCTACAGGTTTAACACAATCCCAATCAGAATTACAATGACATTTTTCACGGAAACAGAACAAAGAATCCTAAAATTCATCTGGGGCAACAAAAGACCTCGAATAGCTAAAGCAATCCTGAGAAAAAAGAACAAAGGTAGGGCATCAAAATCCCTGAATTCAAAATATACTACAAAGCTATAGTAATCAAAACAGCATGGTATTGGTACAAAACAGACATACAGATCAATGGAACAGAATTGAAAGCCCAGAAATAAAACCACACATCTATGGGCAGCTAATCTTTGACAAAGGAGCCAAGAACATACAATAGAGAAAGGAAAGTCTCTTCAATAAATGGTGCTGGGAAAACTGGACAGCCACATGCAAAAGAATGAAAGTAGACTATTATCTTTTGCCATACACAAAAATTAACTCAAAATGGATTAAAGAGTTGAAGATAAGACATGAAACCATAAACCTCCTAGAAGAGAATATAGGCAGTACACTCTTTGACATCGGCCTTAGAAACATCTTTTCCAATACCATGTCTATGCAAGCAAGGGAAACAAAAGAAAAAAGAAACAAATGGGAATTCATCAGACTAAAGAGCTTCTGCAAGGCAAAGGAAACCATGAACAAAACAAAAAGAAAACCCACCAGCTGGGAGAAAATATTTGCGAATCATATATCTGACAAGGGGTTAATCGCCAAAATATATAAAGAACTCACACAACTCAACAACAAAAAAACAAACAACCCAATCATAAAATGGGCAGAGGATATGAGCAGACATTTTTCCAAAGGAGATATGCAGATGGCCAATAGGCACATGAAAGTATGTTCAACATCACTAATCATTAGGGAAATGCAAATCAAAACTATAATGAGAAATCACCTTACACCCATTAGAATGGCTATAATTACCTAGACAAAAAATAACAAATGTTGGAGAGGATGTGGAGAAAAGGGAACCCTCATATACTGCTGGTGGGAATGCAAACTGGTACAGCCACTATGGAAGACAGTATAGAGATTTCTCAAAAAATTAAAATAGAAATACCATAAAACCCAGCTACTCCACTATTGGGTATTTATCCAAAGAACTTGAAATCAACAATTCAAAGAGACTTATTCACCCCTATGTTCATTGCAGCATTATTCACAATAGCCAAGACGTGGAAGCAACCCAAGTGCCCATCAAATGATGAATGGATAAAGGAGATGTGGTGTGTGTGTGTGTATATATATATATATAATGGAATACTACTCAGCCATAAAAAAAGATAAAATGGTCCCATTTGCAACAATATGGATGGAACTCAAGGATATTATGTTAAGTGAAATAAGCCAGACAGAGAAAGAGAAACACCGTATGATTTCACTCATATGTAGAAGATAAACAAACACATGGACAGTGGTTACCAGAGGGCAAGGGGGTTGGGGAGTGGGCATAAGAGGTAAAGGGACACATATATAAGGTGACTGACAAATGATAATGTACAAGTGAAATTTCACAATGTTATGAACTATTATGACCTCAATAAAATAATAATAAAAAATAAGATCTCTTGGACTCCTCCTGAGTCTATGCTTTTAACTACTCCATAATACTACTTTTCAAAGGTTATAAAAATAAGTATGATGTTGTTTCCATTAGCTGTTCCAGAATGAAAGTTGAATGGTACTGAAAACATAATAAAAATTCTTCTTTTGTTTCATTAGTACAAGGCTTGATACCAATCCTAAGCCAAAAACAAAACTTTTGCTGTTATCAAATGTAATAAGCACACAAGTATACTTTACGTTATTACCTTTGGGAACTTGTGTCTTTTTCATGGCTGTCATTGGCAGAGGAAACTTCATCCAGCTGCTCTGGAAGGGGATGATGATTCAGAGCATGTTTTGTTATTCCTTTCCTGTGAAAGATAAAAACAAAGTTATATTTCCTGTAAAGAAAAAATACATACTTTTCAGTAACTTGATCTACAAGTTAGTCACCTACTTCTTATTGCTCTGGAACCACACTGTCCAACACGGTAGTCACTAGCCACTAGCAGTTAAAATGTGGTTAGTTGGAAATGAGATTCACTTTAAGTGAAAAACACATAGGATTTTGAAGTCTTAGTACAACAAGAATGTACAATATATCCTTAATTATTTTATCTTGATTACATCTTAAAATAATATTTTAAATATATTGGGTTAAACAAAATATATTCTTAAAAATAATGTCATTGCAAATTGAAAATATAATGTTATAACAACACACCTATTAGAATAGCTAAAATAAATTATAGTGATGATACTAAATGCAGGTGAGGACGTGGAAAAACTGAATGTCTCATACATTGCTGGTGGGAATGTAAAGTGGTGCAGCCACTCTGGAATAGTGTCATAGTTTCTTATAAAACTAAACACATGCATTTACCATAAGACCTAGCTGTTGCACTCTTGGGCATTGATCCCAGAGAAATAAAACTTATGTTCACACAAAAATCTGTACACAAATGTTTACAGCAGATTTATAATTGAAAAAATTGGAAACAACTGAAATGTCCTTTGACGGGTGAATGGTTAAATTCTGGTATATCCACACAATGGAATATGATTCAGCAATAAAAAGAAATGAACTATTGATACATGCAACAACTTGGATGGATTTCAAGGGCATCATGGTTAGTGAAAAAACCTAATCTCAAAAAGTTACATACTATATGATTCCATTTATATAACATTCACAAATGACAAAACTACAGAGGTAGAGAAAAGATTACTGGTTACCAGGAAGATGGAGAAAGGAGTGGATGTGAGGGTTATACAAGGATGTTCCTTGGTGGTGATGAAACAGCTCTCTATCTTGGTGTACCGGTGGTTACACAAATCTATAAATGAGACCAAATTGCACAGAACTATGTACACATGTCCACACACAAAGGAGCGGATATGAAAACTGGTAAAAACTGAATAAGGTTTATAGTCTAGTTAAAAGTATTGTATCAATGTCAGTTTTTTGGCTTTGAAATTTTACTTTAGCTACATAAGTTGTCATCAGTGGGGGAAGCTGGGTGAAGGGTTCATGGGACTCTATGTACTATTTCTGTTAACTTCCTGTGAGTCTATAATTATTTCAAATAAAAAGTTAAAAATATTAATTTCACCTGTTTCTACTATTTTTTTTAATGTGACTACCTGAAAATTTAAAATTACATGTGGCTTGTATTATATTTCTATTGGACACTGCTGCTCTAGAGAGTTCAACGTGTGCACTAGAATAAACTATGGAGTCAACTATTATATGTTCCAATCCTAATCATCTACAGTAGCCCTTTCTTTCCTTCCCCACAAAATTCTGTAGGCAAATAAATTTAGGAAACATGATAGGTTAAACAAAGTTACACAGGTTTCTTTACAAGAAGTTTTCCCAGGGCCTTTAATATGCAAATGTATATTATAAATCTCTAATACTCTTATTTCACAGGAAAGAAAAGTGAGGCACAGAAGGATTAAGTAACCTGCTTAAGGTCATATGGCTTAGTAAGTAATGGAGCTAGGATTCAAATCCACGTAGTCTGGCTCTGAGGGCTCTCAGAGCAAATGAGTAGTTTGAGATTTCAGTGAATTGTACCAGTTTTTGTATAAAGATAAAGCTAAAGGCCCAGCCAGCTTGTTACTTTAACCCAGCTGGGCTTGTTACTTTATAATTTTATTTATTTATTTATTTATTTCCCCCCCCCCAAAGCCCCAGTAGATAGTTGTATGTCATAGTTGCACATTCTTCTAGTTGCTGTATGTGGGACGTGGCCTCAGCACGGCCGGAGAAGTGGTGCATCGGTGGGAACCCGGCATCCGAACCCCGGGCCGCCAGCAGTGGAGCGGGTGCACTTAACCGCTAAGCCACGGGGCTGGCCCTGAGCTTGTTACTTTAAATTATTCTCAAATGGTGGGGATGGATTTGTGCAGAGCTATTTGTACTTCTCTCATTTAATGATCCTACAACCAAAAGCTTGTCTTTGAGACAATAGTGAGGATTAGAAATGTGGATTCCAGCTACAAAATAGAAACTTAAGGCAGATTTAGTCTGTCAGAGAAATCTGATCATGACGTGACAATTAGATAATACCAAAGAAATATTAAATTTGATCACAGCATCATGGTTACATAAGAAAATGTCTATAATTTTTAGGTGCCTAATGAAGTATACAGGGGTGAAATGATATGCCTGGGATTTTGCTTCCTTATTTCACAAATGGCAGACAGAGAGGCTGAATAAAACATAAAGATTATAGATGAAGCAAATATATTAAAATTTTGATAACTGTTGAATGTGGGTGATGGGTGGTTCATTATATTATTCACCATACATTTATGTTTGAAATTTATCATTAAAAAATATTAAGCTGTATGTTGAAAATCACTTTTTTCCAAACTCTTCAATATCTATAATTTGAAACCATTAGGGAGAAAACTAAGTTACTTCTTCAAAGCAAATTATCATTATTAACACCTAAAGTAAAAATTGCTTTTAATTAACTGTCATTTAGATGCATATAATCTTCATTATCTTCATTATTCACATCATCCTGACTCATTTAGAGAATCATCTTTTGGGAGTATCACATCAACAATAGAGAACAAGTAACATAACCACACTGGGTCAATAATTCTGGCCCAATAAGTGCCTATCAACCATTTTTTTCCATGAAAAACTTTTTTTTACTCTCAGCATTAATTATAAAAGCAGATTTTTAGCTAAGCCTTGTTCCCTTTGTTGGGAAATAACTTGCTTCTTCCTGGTTCCTCAAAAGCCTACTAACTGAATTGCTGCTGTGTAGATGTCCTGTTACTTAGTAGATAACAAGCTTCTGAAAGGCAAGGAGAGATCGTAGACTGATTTTCTTTGTATGGCTATTGTACCAAGTAAAGGTGGGAAAAGACAAGGAAATTACTGTTTGCTGAGGACCTACTATGTGTCAAGCCCTGTGCTATCGCTTTAGATATGGTTTTAAATAAGGTCTTATTTCTGTATTACAGAAATGAAGGCTCAAAGATTTAGCAATCTGCATAAAAGTCACATGGCTAGAAAAGAGCCTAGCCAGAAACCCAAATGTGACTGAAAATACCATGCTTATTATTACCATTATAGTTAATATTTAATTAATAAATGCATGGTTGCTAAAATTACATAGCTCAGTGGAGGAAAAAAATAGAGATTTGGGATTAAAAAGTCCAAAAACCTACTGGTTATATAATCTTAAAATGTGTAACCTTTCTGATACTTCATTTTCTGAAAAACTGAAGATAATCATACCCATCTTACAGCATTGTTAGAAGAATCAAGATGTGTAGGTCTTTTTGAAAGTGTAAAGCATTAATAAATATATACATTATCATTACTTGCTAAATTACAACACCTCACTAGGGGTAGAAGGTGGGGCTTGAAGCCACCTCTCTAAAATTTCTAAAATCTCAAAAGCAAAACTGATCCTTAAGAATTCTGACGCTTGATTGCAGAGATGGGGAGGCAGTATGTGTAACGATTATGACCACAGGCTTTTGCTTTCTAAAATCTCAAAACCAAAACTGATCCTTAAGGATTCTGATGCTTAACTGCAGAGGTGGGGAGGCAGTAGTGTAATGGTTACGACCACAGGCTTCAGAATCAGATTGACACCAGGTTTGTACTTCAGCTCCGCCACTTTCTGACCGTGTAATCTTTGGCATGCTACAATCTTTAAATCTGAGATCTTTATCTGTAGAATGTGCAAAATAATAGTCCCTATCTGGTATCCTGTGGATAGCATTAAGTGAGCTAATGCACGTAAGCAGCTTTGCTTGGTGCCCGGCACTAGATCAATTCAACTTTATGATAGCACTCAGTCAGCTATTAATAACTTCTCGAGTCTTCAATGGCCATTGACAATGGGGCATGAAGCACTGCGGTAACTACAAATGCCTTAGGAGACCCAGTCCCTCGGTTCAGGAAGTGCAGCCCAAGAGGGCCAAGTCCTGGGATAACACAAGTGACACGCCCTCCTAGACATGGAGGTAGAAGGGGCAGATAGAAGGGGAGGTAGAAGGAGCTGGAAGGAGAGAATTCCGAAGAAAATTTTCTTTCCCCCGCCCTGGGAAAGGAAAAGAGCGAGGGACTGATCAGAGAGGGTCCCCAGAGCGCCTGCGGCCTGCCTTGGCCTGCCCCGGCCCCAGCTGGGGTAGCTGAGCGGTCCACTCACAGCTCCAAACTCTGGGGCACCGCCTTCCGAGTGTATCTGGAGATCATCCTCCTCTTCCTCCTCAGCCGCGGCCGGGGCGGGCACGCCAGGGTGGGGGCCACCGGGCCTGGCCCTCCCGCCGGCTCCGGCCCGGCCCCCTCCCGCCACCTTCCGGCCCCGTCACGCCCCGTCGCCTAGACTCCCGATCGCCACCAACCCACAGTCCCCACCTCTCCAAGTCCTCCGCCCTCCTAGCTTCCCCACGGGGGAGGAAGTGACGAAGGCACTGCGGCACCCGCCTAATGCTCCCGCCGACGCTCAGCGGTGAAGACCCCGGGCGTTCCGGGGCTGAGCGGGGTTCTGACTTTCTGTCCGAGCTGCCGCTGGCCTCAGGTCCCAGACGGGTGTTTGGCCCCAGCCTGGGTCAGGCTTTGGCGGCTACCGACCAGCTCACGCGGTGTGAGGGGCGCTGAGGAAAAGTGCCGCCGCAGAGACGTGCCGGAGAGGCCCTAGAACCGTAAGCGGATCGGCTTCACTTTGTCCGAAGGAAGGAGGGAGCCTAGTCTGAGTAAAGAGCGCTCGACTCCAAGTCAGGCCTCTGCTGCTCGGTGGCTTCTCTTTCTGTGCTCCTGGTTTTCTCATCTGTACAGTGAGGAGTAAGCCTGGGTGATCTCCAAGTCCCTTCCAGTTCTGACACTAAGTTCTTCATAATAGGGTGCGCTTGGCATTATGGGGTGCGGGTGGGTAGAATTATTGTCTGTCCTTCTGGTTTGAAAGGCCAAATGATGATTTGGACAGACTGTGGTGAGTGAGTGTCTACATAGAAGATGCAGGTTCTTCTCGACCTCGTTGTATTAGCCCGTTAGAAAACCGAGTAAGCATCAAAATGGGATTGCTGCCTTACAGTGGACCATCCAGTGCAGGGCCTTTCTTTGCCAAGGCTCATCTGGCAGCAAGAGTAAGCTAGTACTTTTTTTTGTAAGGGAAACCCTTAGAAAATAAAGAGATATCTACCACCTTTTAATATACTAGAGCTATACCCCCTGAGACCTGAAAAGGGGGCAAATTTAGGACAGATACTTATAGGATCTAGAACTGTTGTCCGGTAACAGAATCATGGCAGATTATTTTGGAGTGAGATGATAGGATGTGAATGTTTTGTAGTTTTGAATTCCTCTGTGCCATGCAATGTTTGTAAAAGGCAGAGATTGGAATTCTGAAGAGTAAGGGAGATTGCTCTTAAGAGCGTTTAAATAATAAAAATTTTAACTGGGGAAGGATTTTAGAGATGATAGAGTAACACTCTCATTCCACAATTAAGGCAAAAGCACCAGAAAGAGAAAGTGAAATGCCCAAAGTGACACAACTCAGAACTGGGACTTTTGATAGTATTTAAACAAATTATGTTATTGCAGTGTTTCTCAAAATGTGTTACACCACTGCTAGTACAAGGGCAAACATTTTAAATTTTATTCTTACTTATTAGTTAATTGGGAATATGATACTGGATTTCCATTCACAGTATTATATCAAAAGTTCCTTTAACATAATTTTAAGTATAAAGAATATTATTTTAAGTATAAAAATGTCATTAAAATAATATTAAATAAATGTTAATATAGTTGGTACGTGGTCAAGGCAAAAATGATGATGGTATGTGGATAACTGAATATTGAAAAACAATGGAATTGACTAGAATAGTTCAGGGAATGGGATATTACTTCTACATTATTCTATAGGGTTTATATTATTGAAACTTTAAATGTAGTTTTCAAAGAAGAATGGAGGAAAATAAGAAGCTTGCTACAGTGGAAGACTCTGTGGAGTACTGCCTATTCCTGATACCAGATGAACCAAGAGACCCAGAAAAACACAAAGAGATTCTTCAAAAATATATTGAGAGGATAATGACCCAGTATGCACCTATGCTGGTCCCCTATATCTGGCAGAATCAGCCTTTCAATCTCAAATATAAACCTGAGAAAGGTAAGGCTCTTTTACTTGTTTTGATTTGATATGTATGACTTTCAATGTCATTCTGACAACAGTGATGTATAATAGTCTATAGTTCATTCAGTGTTGTCAGGAGATTTATATCCTGAACTTTTTAGGTTAGTGATGCTTGCCTATATTCGGTTAATCCCTTAAACGTAAAAAAAAATTCTTTTTAATTCATATTGATGAAAACTTTCTAATAGTCATTGCCTTAGGAAATTATATCTACTCAACATTATTAAGATTTTATTTATTTTTATTTTTTACCCCCAAAGCCCCATTGGATAGTTGTGTGTCGTAGCTGCACATCCTTCTAGTTGCTGTATGTGGGACTCGGCCTCAGGATGAACGGAGAAGTGGTGCCTCGATGCGCACCCGGGATCCAAACCCGGGCCACCAGCATCGCAGCGCGCGCACTTAACCACCAAGCCACAGGGCCGGCCCATACTCAACATTATTAAAACATGGCTTTTCTTTTGGACTTTAATTGCTTTGCTATGCCATAGTGTATCTACGTATGTAGACTAAACAGGTTCAGGCATCTGGCTTCCTTAACCATAGTTCCCTTAGCTGTTACTCTGTATTCCTCACTCTTGGTAATGTATTTAGTAGGCTGCCTTGTTTCACATAGTTGTTGTGGTGGGGATCTACGAGTGGCTCTGCCTTGCTTATAAAGAGAAATAATTGGTCTTTATTACCATTATTTGTCATTCAGAAGCATTTTGAGGTTTCTTCACTGCTTCCCTGTGTTGTTGGTGCTTGAGATCTGACCTCTGGCCAAATATGGCACTTTGTCCTATCATTTCTTATAGTTTTACCAAAATGAATCATGGATAGGTGATCAAGGCTCTACTCATGCAGTGACTTATGTGGGGGTCTTGTTTCAGTTCAGGAGTCACATCTTGTGATACCATCAGTCTGGCTCTCAATCTAGCTCTTATCTGTTATCTCTTCGCTAGCAGTTGCCAAATGTGTTCCCTACTAATTAATTTAATTTTTTCGAGCTCCTGTTCACTGAAACATATGTGATATTTATTGGCAAGAACACTGTCACGTTAGCACAGCACATCCAAAACCAACTCCTTATCTTTTTCTAGAAAATCATTTTTATCCAGTGTTTTCTCGTCTTGCTTAATGGCATTGCTATCCATCTAGTTATCCAAGCTTGTTAGTAATTCAAAATCATACTCAACTCTTCACTTCACCATGTTCAGTCAGGCACTAAATCCTAGTATGATTACTCCTAAAATATGCGCCCTTCTCTACATCTGTTTGGCTATAGTGTAGGCCCTCTTTATCTCTTCATCTGAAAGACTAAAGTAGCTACCTAACTAACCTTTCTGGTTCCATTGTCTCCAGTTTCTCACACTGTTGCCAGTTTCTTTGTAAAACATGAATTTCATCTTGTCACTCTCCTGCCTAATATCCTTCAACTATTCCCCATTGCTTCTGGATGAAGTTCAAATTGAAGTTTAATATATAAGGTAGATAAAAATAGACACTCTTTTGGAGCTTCTCTAGTTGAAAACACTTGGGAGATCTACGATGGGGAGAAGAAGAGTTGGTTGGGCTGTTCTTCCCACCTGTCCTTTTTTTGCCGTGGCAGCTCTTGAAACACTCCACAATGCACTTGTTTGACCTTTATTCTGTTAATGTGGTGTATTACATTGATTTTCATATGTCAAACCATCTGTGCATTCCGGGCATAAATCTCACTTGATCATGGTGTACAATCCTTTTAATGTGTTGTTGAATTTAGCTTGCTACTATTTTCTTGAGGATTTCTGCATCAGTATTAATCAGGGGTATTGGTTTGTTGTGTTGTCTTTGTCTGGCTTTAGTATTAGGGTAATGCTGGCCTCATAAAGTGAGTTTGGGAGTGTCCCCTCCTCTTCAATTTTTTGTTAAGACTTTAAGGAGGATTGATGTTAATACTTCTTTAAATGTTTGGTAGAATTTTCCGGTGAAGTCATCTGGTCCTGGGCTTTTCTTTGTTGGAAAGGTTTTGATTACTAATTCAATTTCCTTGCTAGTTAAGGATCTGTTCAGATTTTCTATTTCTTCACCATCCAGTCTTGATACATTGTGTATTTCTAGGAGTTTACCTATTTCTTCTAGGTTATCCAATCTGTTGGTGTACAGTTGTTCATAGTGTTCTCTTATAGTCCTTTTTATTTCTGTGGCATAGGTTGTAATATCCCCATTTTCATTTCTGATCTTAGTATTTTAGTCCTCTCTCTCTTTATTTTTGGTTAATCTAATGTTTTGTCAATTTTGTTGACTTTTTTCAACAAACAAACTCAGTCTAGTTGATGTTTTTCTATTCTCTATTTCATTTATCTCTGCTCTCTTCATTATTTCCTTCCTTCTGCTAGGTTTGGTTTAGTTTGTTGTCTTTTTCTAGTTCCTTAAGTTGTCAGGTTGCTGATTTGAAATCTTTTATAACTATAAACTTCCTCTTAGCACTGCTTTGATGCATCCCATAAGTTTTGGTATGTTGTGTTTTTGTTTTCATTTGTCTCAAGAGATTTTCTAATTCTCCTTGTGGGTTCTTCTTTGATCCATTGGTTGTTTAAGACTATGTTGTTTAAGTCTACGTACTTTTGGATAATGCACTTGTTTGAAAATTTCTGCTCCATCTAAATCTAGCTTCCTAATATTCCCAGAACACTCCATTGTCTGTTATGCCCCTGTGCCTTTGCATATGCTGTTCTCTCTTTCTGGAAAGCCTACTTCTGGTCATTCCTCCAGATGAGCATAGCTCAGATATCATATCCTTTATGCTCACGGAGCCCTCAGTGCATACATACCTCTCTGTTCATCATCTTGTTTTAAGATAGCTTGGTTGTCTATCTCCTGTTGTCTAGACCCTCAGCTCCTCAAGAGTAGGATTCTTATATCTCGTTCAGGATTGCAGCCCCAGCTCCCAGTATAGTACCTGGAGCATAGTCAGTCAATGAATGTTTAATTGAATGATTATTTGTATTTGTATTTACACTGACAGATTTACTTGGTAATATGATTGCTTTTCTCTTGTTTTTAGGAGGTGTTCCTGCTCATATGTTTGGCATGACAAAGTTTGGGGATAACATTGAGGATGAATGGTTTATCGTTTATATAGTAAAGCAAGTTACAAAGGAATTTCCAGAGTTAGTAGCAAGGTATTATAGTTACTTTAATAATTCTAAAGGAATTCTGTTATTGAAACTGACTACATTTTTATCTATTTAGTAATTTTTTTCTGTAGTCTGGTGGAAATTTTAC